CCCTTCTTTATTTGTTGTTATACCTATAGATGCTATGTTATCTGTATGATTGTTTGTCTTGATTTGTATTGAAAACCTCTAATAAAATCTGATTGAATCAAAATTTGAATTCTGCCTGGCCGCTATGAATTGCTGCATTTGTTCTCTGCCCACTGAATAATTATGAGTTTGATGGTGTGAAGATTTCATTTTAAGCTACAGGATCATTACAGCGACTGCAGAATACTAAGGAAAGACAGAAATGTGAACATTTCCCCCTATATTCAATAGATGTTCCATTGGCCCATACATGACAAGGAACAAGATCAACAGTAATTTGCAATGAATAGTATTTACATAGTAGAATTATAATTCCCTGCATAACAAATCCAAATCTGTAAAAAATGTGGAGAGATGGGGAGTTACAGTTATTTTTACTTATATTTCTATACGTTTTTATGTGATCAAAAACCTTCCAAAAATAGGTAGCCAAGTTGCATAAATTGGAAGGACAGATGGACGAATAGATAGATAGACAAAAGAAAAAGATAACAAATTTAACTCAACAATGCTCACCAACTGCTGACACTGGTTCTGTCTTCTGTGAACGCACTGTCACTGTGGCGGTTTTTGACAGATCAGTACCCGTCCTCCATACTCGCACTTCAATGTATCCCGCACTCTCATCCACATACAGTTCCACATCACCAAAGTAGAAAGCAGGTTCTAAAAAGAAAGCAGAATTTGATCAAATAAACACTCAATAATATTTCTAATTTTATAGTCACTGTATTCATTTTAGCATTACTAAATTCTAAATAATATACAACTGTAGGTGGCAGTAGATTGATTTATCTTACTAGGGATCCTTGCACATCTGTGAATCCTCCACTATTTAAAAGCATATAATGGTTTGTTCACATCACAAGCATTGGGTGCATTGTTCAAGGCAACAAAAATGCAAAATAAGCAAACTAATTGCAATCAGTGTTTTTAATTTACAAAAATGGTTGCATTGCTGTACAAAAAAAACAAACATGATTCAATGATAGCTTTGTGTAATTCATACAAAAAACACACTGCAAGTACAGGGAGGAAAATAATTATATACATAACGAGTTGTCGTTAGGAGCAACTTCCTAAATTGAAAGGACTAATCTGTGTACAACATAGCCAGTCTGTGGGAGCCAGAATTATTGTTGGTTGGTAGGGGGATCAAATACTTATTTTACTCACTGAACTGCAACTAATTTATAACATTTGTATCATGTGTTTTTTCTGCATTTTTGGTTAATATTCTGTCTCTATCATTTAAAATACACCTATATTAAAAATTATAAACCTCTAATTTCTTTGTAAGTGGGCAAACTTACAAAATCTGCATGGGATCAAATAATTATTTTCCACAATATATATATATATATATGTGTGTTTGGTAAATAAACATTTATTGAAATCAATATTTTGCATTTTGTAGCCAGCAGGTGGCATCCTCAGCTCCTTTCCCCCCAGTTTTAAAGGTTCTCCATAGACCCTTAGATGAAAAAAATGATATACACAGCGTTGTAGCGCAAGATGCAAGTTACAAACCCAAATTAATGACTCTTTGAAGTGATTCATTCTTCAAGGTTTTAAACAGAGTAAAACAAAAGGCTAGCAACTACTGCCACCATGCCTCTTCAGTTGACCCATAGCTCTTTTGGTATTCAGAGCAGGAGGGTGAGCAGAGTTTGTTTAATAGCTGGAGTTCTGCTTTTGATTTTAGGCTACCTAGGGGCAGGATATGAATGATCCACATACTTTGCTGTAGAATGTGTTTTACTGTATAACAAAGAAAATCCTAAAATACCTGCTAAGGTACCTAACTGTAAGGACTGAACACACAACTGTATAAAGGCTACATTTGTGTGTGTATTTGGTCTCTTGCATTATTTAATTTATTTCCCCAACACAATGCAAACAATTGCAGAAGATGCCAAATATCTGAACCCAACTCATATGTTTATCATTGTAGGTCACCAAGTCTATTGCAGATTAGGTATCTGTGACCTAGCCTGCCTATATATGCCCAAATGTACAGAAGCAGAAGAGTCAAACAACAGTGTTATTGTGACCCTGAGTACCAGATTTCAACTATTCCATGGAAAAATGCGCATTATACCGCATACAATTTTGTGTCTTTCTAAATGACAATCTGTAAGGCAATACACTGCATAGAGTACTTGACAAACAAGGCATGCCAAACCAATCTGCAAGATCTGGAACCACTTCAGCAGCCTCCAGTCCATAGGAGTAAAAGCAGATAGCGCCATGCATGCAAGGAAATATTTATCTATGAATCTTGGCACAAAACCATATAAATGTTTAGAAGATATAAATGTTAAAAAGGAAAGATTCAACATTTCATAAAACTGCAGTGTATCTCCTTCATTCCAGTTTTATCAGAATCCAACTGTGTCGATTGGATTGTGCCAACTCTAGAGAGTATGTATATATAAATATGAGAGGATTATCTCAATGCACTTACAGAAAATGATGAGTCAGTTCAGTCTTCTAAATTCCTGAAATGATTCACTCAATTTAGATGTCAGGCTAAAAAAGCAGCTGGCAAAGGCGAGGCAATACAGAAATGCGACCCATGAGGCTGCTTTTAGGTGGATCGAGAGAGTTCCCCAGAATGTGGGGTGGCTTAAACGTTTTTCTGTTCAAAGCCAATCTTCTGTATATTGTAAGGCTATATTCGAATTAATAAGACACAATAAAAGATTTAATCCACAGAGCAGCTGGGACATACAGTGGGATTCTGAAAGAGGTCCATATCTAATAGTCCTCTTTAGGGATAGGGAGTCAAACTAACATATTATACCTTTTCAGAGTAATTATGTAACATAATTTATGAATCCAGAAATGATTGAGCACCATGGATATTATCAGCTGATTATGCAGAAATAAGACAAGGCTGTACTGTGCATGGTTTCTTTATGTCAGGTAATTTTGTGACCAAAAATGATAACCTATAGATTCTATGGGACCTTTACACTTTTTTTGAACTCTGAAGCAAAAAGTATTTGGTTGTAAGTTTTTGTTCTGCCAAAGCATTGGTCCTGTGGTCTCTGTCTGAGGGGTCTGCCTGAATATTCAATCCTTGAACAGATACCATGTGACGTTGTTCACATGACTAGCCGCCTAAGGAAGTTAATTATGTCACAACCTTGTCTACAATGTGATAGTGAAATAGAGCAGGATGAACAGTAAAGCTGAAGATTATTATTTGAATATACCTTCCTTGTCTGTTCTGAAGAGAAATCGGGTTACATTGAATTAACTAATATAAGTATACCCCTGCGCATCCTTCAGAATAAATCCTTATTACCCACATAACCTAACAATCTCTCCCCCTCAATGCCTTTTATTACACCTTACATCATACTACCCGCCAGTTACTCAAAGCATTCCAACAGTGTTCCTATTCATTCTGGGAAAACGCAGGCTCTGCTGTTGTTTACAGTATAATTTACCCATCCTAAGTGATAGCACTCCACCTATACCTGTTCTTACCAGGTCTGACACCAAAAATAAAGACTACAGAATAATCAAACAGAAATAAGGGAGATTCATTCTGATAAAATGTGTTCCTTTTGATGTATAAAAGCAAAAACCTTACAAATATTCAGAATGTTTTCTGCATTTATCTCTTGGTTGAATTGGGAAAAGGATTTATGTTGGTACCAACACTGTGCAAGTCATTTGAAGAAGGACAGATGCCTAACAGCCTGTTCTTTGCAGGAAGACATCTGACCATCTTGAAAATAAAAGTTTATTTTTAGAGGGAAGGATACACCCGAAGGCAAAGGATACGATTATTATTGTAACACAGTAGGATTCCTTGTGGTCACCACAAAGCTGATAATGATGATAATTAATCATATTTTACAGGATTAGAAGCTTTGTGATGTTATTTGTTCTGAAGGGGTGCATTTTGCAGATGTTACAGGTGAAGGCAGCAAGATTTGGACATGATCAATAACCATGTGTACTGATTCCTAACCTTCCTTCCAGGGCTTGAGGGTAGAAGGCAAAAAGTGCAACTGAAAACAGGAACAATTTGCTATCAGCTGTAATCATGTAACATTCAGAGTATGGTTAATCTACAAACTGCCAAGGAGTAATTGTGCATTTATATGAAAGCCCAATCACTAGGCCCGGCTCACATCTGAGTTTGCATGAACGCGCGGTCCCGGGCCGCCCATTTGTGAACCAGGCCTCAAACAAGCCTCAACATGTTAAAACAATTTCAGAAGTAATTTTCAATTTCTTTAGACCTGCAGCATTCATGATAAACCACCAAGGTCCTTGTCAAGGTACGTATGGGATACAGATATAACTTTATACACGTGTCCCCATCACCCATACCTCACGACCTTCTAAGAAATGAGAAAGAGGCAAACCTTCTGGGCTCATGCGTACACCAGATTAGGGCTGTACACCACCCAAGATAATGTATTTCTGGAGCGGATACCGCCAAGTGCTTCCTATCAGCCATCAACAGGAACCCAGTACAAATCAATGACAGGCTGACACTGTCTGCATGTTCACGTCCAGGGGCGTAATCTGTCCCTTAGGGCAGGTAATAACACCATGAATGATTAAATGTGAACAGCCACTGACAGTTTTAGAGTGTTATTGATTCATACAGGCTTCCTGTTTGCAGGTGATTGAAAGCACCTGGCCGTACCTACCCCAGAAATACACTGATCTGGGTAGTGTATGGCCCTAATCGGCCATGTGCATGCCCTTTAGTAAAAGTATGCAGGCAAAGGACAAGAATAATTAATATGCAAAAATATGTGCAAGCACATTATTATTTTTTTCTTCCATGTGATTTGGTATTCTTTACAAACTGAATTTTCACCACATTCATTTAGGTAAGGGAAACTTCCCCTGCAAAGTGGAAGGTCCCTTACAAATTGAACAGCCTATCTGCGTTTAGTAAATCAACCCCAATGTTTTTTCAACTAATGCTAACCAGAGCACTTTACAGAAAAGCATTTAAACAGGAAGAACATACAAACTCCATGCAAACAATGGCACCTGGGTGGATCTGAACTCTTGGCCCCTTCAATGACCATGCTTATAGAAAATATTACAGCAATGCAATGCTACTTAATGTGAAATGCCTCTAAACCTCCACCTCACTTGCATACATAATACCTTAAATACATAGCCCAGTGTATGTTCATATGTAAGATACTTTACATTTTTTTAATGAATTAATATGAATCAGATATATAATTGCAACAAAGATCTGCGCTTATGGAAAATGGACTATCAGTAGTAAGCCTAAAGCTGCTATGAGAAGTGGAAAAAGATGAGGTGTGGGTGTTGTCACAGCGCTAAAGGTCTAAATAAATGAAAAATAAATATAGATATATAAATGTTAAATATATAAGGATTTAAAATGAGAAACCACCCGGTGGAAAAGGTCTTCAAAGAGACCTAATGATATGAACAAAATATGACAGACAGATATGTCCGTTGAAACCTAAACATGTGCTGATGTGTAACCATGAACCTCCTATAAACTATATTCCCCAGTGGGGTCCCAGGGTGAATAAATACAGTGTAACAGGGTTTGCAAACCACAAAGTTAAAAAAACACAGAATAAAACGTGTAAAATTAACTAATAAATATAAGACCAATCACAAAAAATGTCTTATAGGTGCAT